AACGTAGCACGTGACTTCCTGTTGAGAACTTTCAAGAACGAATCAGACTGCTGCACTGACATGGTCGGAGTTAAGGGCATCGTACAGCATCTCAGCTCGCAACAGTTCATCGTTCTGCGACGACATGACGTCAACAGCAGCAACTACAGCGACTTCAACAACTACACAACCTATTGTAACCATTTTTACGAGGTCTTTGATGGTTACAATAAAACTCCCGCTTCACCTTTGTTTGAAAGTATTGTCGGGAATCAAGTCATTAACACGGGCAGGGCCGCCGTTCAATGTCAGCAAGTTTCAACAAATTCACCAGTGCCAGTTCTAGAACTTTCCACCTTACCACCAGATATAGCAACAGCAGTCACCGCGTCATATTTCGCAAAGATATCTTTCTCAACGACGTCAGCTGTACTTTTAACAGAATTATTAACTACAACTACAACAACAACGAAGTCATTGCTACTATCACAAATATCATCAACAACATCAACAACAACAACACCGATCGTAGGGAAAAATGCGTCGACAACAGTTTCAAAATTTTCCGAAAAAACCAGAATTGAAACCTCTGAAAAGTTAACATCTACAAATATTACAACAACGACAGCTGTGAAATTGGCAACGATTTCTGCGGGGGCAAAGGCAAAACGAAACGAAACACGCTTCAATATCAATAGCATAAAAACATGAGAAAAAAACTAACAACAATAATAACAATAACAGTATTATTATCGTTGTTGTTATTATTATTACTATTAACATAAGAGGATCGTTCATTTTGATAGATTTTCTTTTCTTTTTTATAAATTTTTATAAATTATTTACATTTATTTATTTAAACTCCTATATATTATTAATAATAATTTTCGACCGATTTCATTTTGATTTTATCTTTTTGGTCAATAAAAGATTGTTCCCATTATTATTATTATTATTATCATTATTATTATTACCTCGTAATTTGATTGGTCGTATAGGTAGTCTTTGACCTCTGCAATGAAGACACTTATTGTAGAAGGTGATTATGGAGCACTTCTCGCCGTTTACAATGGGCA